CTTTTGTTGCTGGTTCGGTACATCTTATGGAAGAATAACCACCAGTTTGGGGCTGGTCAGCAGCTTGTCCTGAATTTGGTATTCTCAGTTGTGACCCACTGAGGCATGGTGACAACAAGGAATGAGGAGGATCAGATTTTTCATACCACAGCTTTGTTTTTCCTCTCTACCACTCCAGAAAAATAAAGAGAAAGTCGCAGCAGCCTTTATTTTGCTTGTATAAAGTGAATCGCTTGCATACTTGAGAATGAGAGCTTAAGAGGCATCCATTCAACAGAAACTGTCCTATTTTTACATTTAAATGCAACTTTAAAAATACTAATTAAATTTTGCCTTCAACTCTGTTATTCACAATTCCCTTTCTACAGTTATATTTCTTTGCTTACCAATCATGTCATTTTCCATTTGGCAAGGTCTGACTTATTCTAACCACTCCCATAACCAAACACATTAGAAATTAACTGAACTGCATGGGCGTAGTTTGGGGGCAGGGGGCATTGCCCCCTGAAACTGCAAGCCTTGGGCAGGCGTAGAATTTGCCCCTCCCCCCACATGCAGCCCCATTGACCTGACTGGAGCTGCCCCCCTCCCCCCAAATATAGAAGTCAAATTACACCTAGTGCAATGGTCTTCTTTTTGTTGGTTTAACTTTTATTTACATAACACTTTGCCCTATTGATCTCTCATATTTTTGACCTCCAGCATAAATCACGAACATCAGAAAAGCTCTAAAAACACCAGTCCATTAGTTCTGCTGAAGAAGAAGCCACAGAGGGGGCAGAAGAGATTAGTGTGTCTCCAGAGGCCCCGGTATAGATAATGTCTATTCTTTAATAAAACATTTTGAAGAGTGGTGGAGTACAATAAAAATGAATTCTCCAGAACCTGCACAATTTTCCACAATCAGGTTGTTTACAGTTCTAAAATAAATTTATTAGACCTCAAATCTAACCAAAAAGCCTTTGCTTTGACACAATTGTTGGAGAAATTTTTCCAAAATGAGATTTTTTTCCCCTCCCAGCTCTTTCAGTGTCACTTTTCTGCCACAGTTGAGTTTCCCCCTTGTACATACCAGAAAAGGGCTAAGAGTATGTCCATCTTGAATCAGACACCTACAAAGGCTCTGGTACAGCAAGCAGCTTGCTAAAATTGTTAGGGTTTTCTTTTTGGGGGATGGGGAATGATGAATGTCTGCAGACACCACCAAACTGTTTGCCACTGCTGAGACAAGGTGGCCTTCGTCTCTAAGTAGGGTTGCCAGGTGTCCGGTTTTCGACCAAAATGCCCGGTCGAAAAGGGACCCTGGCAGCTCTGGTCAGCACCGCTGACCGGGCTGTTAAAAGTCTGGTCAGTAGCGCAGCAGGGCAGGCACCCCCGGGAAGCTGCCGGCATGTCCCTCTGGCTCCTAGGCACAGGGGCGACCATGGGAACTCTGCGTACTGACCCCACTCCAAGCGCCGGCTCCGCAGCTCCCATTGGCTGGGAACTGCGGCCAATGGGAGCTGCGGGGACAGTGCCTAGAAGCAGGGGCAGCGCATGGAGTTACGTGGCCGTCCCTGTGCTTAAGAGCCAGAGGACATGTCACTGCTTCCGGGAGCTGCCTGAGGTAAGCACTGCCTGGAGCCCACACCCCGAACCTCCTCCCACACCCCAACCTATTGCCCCAGCACTGAGCCCCCTCCCGCACCCAAACTCCCTCCCAGAACCCGCACCCCACATCCCCTCCCACACCCCAACTCCCTGCCCCAGCCCTGAGCCCCCTCCTGTACCCAAAACCCTTCATCCCTGACCCCACCCCAGAGCCTGCACCCCCAGCCAGAGGCCCCCTCGCCCCACCGCACCCCAACCCTCTGCCCCAGCCCCATGAAACTGAGCGATTGAGCGAGGGTGGGGGAGGGCGAGCAACAGAGGGATGGAGGAAGGAGTGAGCATGGGGTGGAGTCTCGTCGAAGGGGTGGGGCCTCAGGGCAGAGGTGGGGCATGGGTATTCGATTTTCGGCAACTAGAAAGTTGGCAACTCTCTCTCTAAGACAGGGGTTCTCAAACTGGGGGTCAGGACCCCTCAGGGGGTCGCAAGGTTATTACATGGGGGGTCACGAGCTGTCAGCCTCCACCACATACCCCGCTTTGCCGCTAGCATTTATAATGGTGTTAAATATATTAAAAAATATTTTTAATGTATAAGGGGGGTCACACTCAGAGGCTTGCTGTGTGAAAGGGGTCACCAGCACAAAAGTCTGAGAACCCCGGCTCTAAGACAAGTAGGACAGGCTTGGTAATGGACTTCTTACAGAAGGCAGTAACCTGTCATGGAGTGAAGAGCAAAGGGAGATGCCTGAGCCAATGCCAACAGAGGTGATGGTTGTATAGTTGGTGGCAAGGGCTCAGAGTGGGGCTTGTTCCAACTACAACCTGAGCAGAGAATTAAACTATTAAAATAATTAACTGCAGTGGGCTATGAACTCCTCATACCCTGTAGTTAGATGGGAACTCCCAGGAGACCTGCACATCCATGAGAGAGCCAGGAAGATGGTGCATTTCCAGTGGGAGCCCCTGGATAAGGCTTGTCAGAGCTACCACTCTTCTAGCAATGGAGGGCTGAATGGAACCATCGGTGCTGTTCCTTAGAAGTGCTTTGTGCCTGGCTGACTAATCCTTTGCCTTGCTCTTCCAACTCCCATCAGAGGATCCCAAAGTGCTTTCTCAGCATGAAACCATTAAGCCACAATGGCCCTGTGAGCTCTGCAGAAGCTGTAAGCCACATTTTACAGGTGGAAAAATAAAGGCAGAGACCTCAAGGCCAAAGTCTTCATAAAAGCATCTGTCTTTCAGAGGGGTTGAGAATCCACAGCTCCAGTAAGTGGTGATGAAACCCTGGGTGCGCAGCCGCCAAAAATGGGGGCACCCCAAATGAGTGCATCCTGGGCACGCAGTGGGTCAATGGCAGCAGAAGCAGGATTAGAGCTCAGCTCTCTCCCAACTTGAAGTCTATGACCCCTCCCAGCAAGCATGACCACCCCTGGCATGTCCTGAGCACCTCCCTGAAACCACAAACTGGCCCTGATGTTCTCAGGTCTAAGCCACAGCCAGTTCAAAAGTCCTGCTAATGCAACGTTACGGCAGAACACACAAGGGTAGCACACCACAGTGCCCCAATGCAGTGGGGCACAGATACAGCGTCTCTCTGCAAGAACAGTCTCTCTGCCCAGAGGAAGACCAAAAATAGACAGTGACTCCGTTCTCCCCTCCCAGCCTCTCTCCAAAGCAAAACACTTCCCAGGATACCACATCAAAGGCTGATCTGACTGTACAGCAGCCCAGATCAATTATCTCTTCGCTTTGAAATAAGTCATGCTGAGGGAGGGAGCACAGAACAAGTCCCACCCTTACAGAGCTCAAATGTAGAGATTTTCTGCGGCCTTATGCAACAGAAATATTTAAAACTTACATGATTATACTGAATAAAATACTCCAATTAACAACATCTTCTTGTTATAGCTAGGTACCTACAGTACGCCCATCACCATATGTGAGTGCTGTCCAGAGCTGTCTATCAAACACAGACACGCACATAATTGTACTTTTCTCCCCTACCCCACACCAAGAGTTTGGAAAACTAAGTGGAACCATCAAGATTCACATTTCATTTTGTGCCCAATTCAATGAAAAGTACTAGAGCTCCCACAATGTCGTAACGGTTCCAAAGCTACAGAATACACCCACCCGTGACCTACATCTTTCTTTCAGTTCTCCTTGTGGAAGTCTGCAGGTTTCTGTGATGTGGAAACAGGATGTAATTTGTCTTGAATCAGGCCCTTTACAATACCATGGTATTTCAGCCAAGCCCAGGCCAACCAAAACGAACCCCAGGACCAGAGCTAGATGAAAAAAAATATTTTTCCCTTACAGGAAATGTTGACTCTTCATTGAAAACCAAAACTGAAACATTGTTTGGCTTATAGCTGAATATTTATTTTCAGGGATGGGGGAGGGGGAAGAGAATTTTCCAATTAAAAATCAGAAATTTGAGGATAGCAGCCATTTTCTGTGACAATTTTCAGTTAGTTGAAAACACAATTTTCCACCAAAAAAAAAAAAAAAAAAATTGATGGGAAAATTTTGACCAGCCCTACCTAGGACGTGCTCAGTGGGATCACAAACCACCTTGCAGATTTTACATTGAAAATGGACACCAAAACAACTCTATCAAATTCCCAGACAGAAACAGTGACTTGTTTTTTAGAGTGCTCTACATTTGCTAAATACGACCCTATCTCAATCCCTCTGTCCGCTGGGTAGAACTACTAAGGCTTACACATGGAGATAAATATCATTCAACTAAAATTAGGATAAAACTTATCACAATACGGATTTTCCGAATCATTTAGCATTGGCCTAACTGCTCCCCTTGACAGCCGTAGCAGTTTTACCTTTGACATCAATGGGGAGCAGAGATAGGCCAACACTGTGCATTTTTGAAATCCCCTCTTTTATATTTAGCATATTAAAGATTTCAAGACAGAGGAAGGTTATGGCTGAAAGTTTTGCTTCTTGCTCCCCTAAAACTGGGACCACAACTGCGACATCACGGTTACCTGAGGAGCCTACATAGGATTAGATGCTTTACCACATGCATTCTTGCGCTATTAGTCAAGCAAGGAGCAAGAATAGAATGTTGGCCTAGGACTCCCTGGCCAAAATTCTCATCTTTCTCAAAAGCACAGGGATCCTCCACTAGCATTCTCCATGATACCGTCCCTGCAACTCCAGCCATCAGGCAATGGTGAGTCTGGGTGCTTTCCATTTTATGTTTCTAAGCAGTTGGCCACCTACAAGTATCTCCTCTTTCCCCATTGCACCCTCTGTATTTCCCAGGAGCAGAAGCAAACAGACAGGGGAGGAAGGAGTGAGATTTCTATCCTCATTCCTAGAAGCACTGCACTCGGAAAGTGAGATTTCTGGAGCCAACCCTATGATGAATATCTAGATGGAGCAGATTCTCAAAACCAGACAGTCTCACGAACCTGTGTACAGGCCCGTTCCCCAAAGTGCTTAGTAATATTGATCCCCAGGGTCTTCTCCAACACAGAGCCAACAGGCTTCATCAAGAAGGAATGTTCGTACCTGGGCAGCACCTCCTCCCACAAGCTACTCTCACAAGCACTGACTAAGTCACAGAACAGCGTCCATTAAAAAGGGCCTCAGACTCCTCCTCTTCCCAGAAGTCTTTGCTTGGAGTTCGACAAGTGAGCCTGCCTTCCCCCACTTAGGGTGGGGATGCTAGCCTGCTCTGCCTCAACCTCCCAAGTCCATCCTCTAGGCAAGGACAAATCTCCCATGGCCCATTTCCTCCGGCCACTAAAGCTTAATAGTAATGAGTTAAAAGCGCAGCCCTGAGCCACTCTGCTCTTCTGGCCTTAACGAACAAACAGGGAGCATCAATCCAGCTTCCTAGGAAGCACGGTCTGTCCTGCCCTAAGACTGCTCCCTCCTCCCCAGTGGCAGCTCATTCTGGCACAAATTGCATTCAGGACTGAGAGGCCATCTGGCTCAGAAGAAGATAAAATGCTGCCTAGCAGATCCCTGAACATCCCTTAACACCATCAAGCCAGGAAGCCCTCCCAGTCTCAGCACAGGAGTCTCTTTGAGTTGCTGACACTTACCCATGAGGTAGCTTTTCACTTTCAGGTATCCTACAATCAGCCGGAGGACGGAAAGCTTATCGAGCCTGGCCTGGACATCCTCAGGGAAGGGCAGCAAGCTCGTCAGTTTGTTCAGCTCCTGATTGAGGCGGTCCCGGTGCCGCTTGGAGGGGTTTGACAGTACGCCCTCGGGAGGTGGTGGCTTCCGGCTAACAGAGGGAAAGAAAAATGCAAATAAGAAGGGAACTATCAGCATAAACCTGGCACAAGTCACATCCCCCTCTGCTAGGCCCTTCCCAAACTCCATCTGTGCACCACTGTAATCTTAATCGTCATCAAATAGTCGCTTGCATGTTCTTTGTCCACTTGTTTAAGAGAACCACACAATGGGAACTGCTTGACCCAGGTCAGAGCAAAAGAGCTTTCCAGCAAGTGGGAAGAAGATATAAAAGGGGGAAATGACATCATGATGGTACCTCACTCTCTCTACAATCACACATCTGGAAACACCTGAGGAACAAAGACTGAACTGGGGGAAGTGATGGTCCCAGGCTAAAGGGATTTCTAGCCTGTGTATGAAAATCTGGGAAAGCCAACCTACCCAACTTAAAAAAAGAATGTAAGACTTTAGAGCCTACAAGTTGAAGCCTTAAGAATGTGCCAGCCTGTTTATCACTCAGGGTGAGAATTTGTTAATTCATATCTTACCTATCTAGTATGATCAGCTCAGTTTGCGGTTTTGTTTATTTACTAGGTAATCACTTAACATCTACCCTTTTGTAGTTAATAAACGTATTTTATATTTTAACCCAGATCAGCGTGCATTTGATTAAGGTGTCTGGGGAAAAATCTCAGCTTCGTTACCACAAGTGTGCACGGTCCTCTTCACATTGAGGGAGAGGCGGACTGGGTGTTAAACTCATATATGGGACAGATTTGCTCTGGGGTCCTAGGCTGGGAGGCTGGTAGTCAGAGAGCCTGCGTATAACTGCAGCTGGGTGTGTCCCTACCTGTGTGAATGCTGATGAAAGTGCAAGCTGGGAGGGCTTTGCAGCTTCTCACAGCAGCACAGTGTGAGAGGGAGCCCAGACTAGTGCGTCACAGGGCTCAGTGGTACCCCAGTTCCAGGTGGCACCCCGGTGGGAACTCGTCACAGTAGGATTAACTACTTTATAATTAGAATCCATTTTTCAAAGACTTCGTCACACTTTCGTTACAGAATCTGTTCATCAGAAGTTTAAACTTGGGCTAGAGCAATGGATCCATGTAGAGATAGGATGAGAATTTAAACAAAAAAATGCTTTACTAGAGTTTTCAGTTCCAGATTTTTAGGAGTGAGAAAATAAAATGATCTAGGTTTAGCAGTTCTACATCAAACATGATTCTTTGCTCTCTTGTTACTCAAAAACTGCCCATGAGAGTCCAGAAAGGAGAATAAATAAGAAGCTTTATTTTTCAAATTTTAAAAAGGGATTGACCACTATTTCACCATAGTATTTTTTTAGGGCTGTCGATTAATTGCAGTTAATGCATGGGATTAACACAACACAAATTAATTAAATTTTTTTAAATAGTTGTGATTAATCACAGTTTTAATCGCACTGTTAAACAACAATAGAATACCAATTTAAATTTATTATAAATATTTTGGATATTTTTCTACATTTTTAAATATATTGATTTAAATTACAACACAGAATACAAAGTGTACAGTGCTCACTTTATATTATTTTTATTACAAATATTTGCACTGTAAAAAAGAAATAGTATTTTTCAATTCACTTCATACAAGTAGTGTAGTGTAATCTCTTTATCATGAAAGTGTAATTTACAAATACAGAATTATTTTTTTATATAACTGCAACAATGTAAAACTTTAGAGTCTACAAGTCCACTCAGTCCTACTTCTTGTTCAGCCAATTGCTAAGACAAACACATTTGTTTACATTTACGGGAGATAATATTGCCCACTTCTTATTTACAATGTCACCTGAAAGTGAGAACAGGCATGGCACTGTTGTTGCCGGTGTTGCAAGGTATTTGTGTGCCAGATATGCTAAATATTTGTATGCCCCATTATGCTTCAACTTGTAAGCACTAAAGTTTTACATTGTGTTGTTTAAGTTGCACTTTCAAGTTAAAGAGATTGCACTACAGTACTTGTATGAGGTGAACTGAAAGATACTATTTCTTTTGTTTCTCTTTTTTACAGTGCAAATATTTGTAATAAAAAATAATAATATATAGTCAATTAATCATGACTATTTTTATCTCGCAATTAACTGTAATTTTTTTGTTAATCATTTGACAGCTCTAGTATTTTTTAATGATATTTTCACATATTGTACCAAAATAATGTGTGTGACAACATACTTGCAGTGTACTATTCAACGACTATATGTCTGCATGCTGCATAGAGTCTGAGAAAAGGTTTGTTGCTTGGTACACGAGAGACTAAATTGGAACTCAAACTGTGTGGAAGCCTGGTTGAGTCTGTAGTTTATAGTTGTTTTCTTTAATAGATGTCTCTTGTTTAAGAAGACAAGTGATTCTGTACCTCAAGACAATCAGATTGTTGGATGTCTGATCCTTATCTAATGAAAAAGTTGTTTGTTTGTCTTTTTAGAGGGAGTCAGAAACTAGCTTGTTCACAGAAGTTCAGTAAAGTTAGTTTACACAAACTGTACGATTATAAAAAGCAGAACAAAATGTAATGCTCTTATATTGCCCCATTTAAGGCATCTAATGCATTTTAGATCTGGGACAAATTTTCTTAGAGGGGGCCCACTTTCTAGTAAAGGCAGAAGAAGATCATTCTTCACTCACAAGGTCCTTCCAGGAGACGGGGACAATGTTAGGAGAAATAGGCAGACAGCAATGATACAAGAGGCTCTGCTTAGAAATAATGATAACTGAGTATGCTGAGGCAGTGGGAGGCTTTTGGTGAGTTGCCAGTCAGGTGCAAGGGTGAAGGATCTCTTGTAGCATCCAGATGAACATTGAGAGTGCTCTATGGAGGAATCTATGGTACCTACTCACCAACGATGCAGGGAAGTGTCAGAAAGAGGGAGCTAAATTTAGGTTACTAGGAAGAAGGCTTAAATTAAACAGCCTCTACAATAGCTTCCTCTTAAATGCTCCTGGCTCAACACACAAGGAACTCCCAAGGTCTCCATGGATGAGAAGATGTTGTAAAGAGGCACAGGTTGTTCATTAGACACTGGGGAAATCATAGGGAAAAGGATAGTCTGTACAGAATAGCTGGGGTTCCACCTTAACCAGACTACTTACCCATAAAGTAAATAATGTATACCAGGGAAATTCCCAGCTGCTCAGATCTGAAGTTTTACAGCCTTGCCCTTATGTCTCACTTTGACCTGACCAGACCACCCGTCCACTCCTGGTGGTGGAAGGACAGTTCAGTCCTAAGTCACTTCCCTGCTTGTCCTCTTTGCTGAGGCTGCCATGGCAGTGGCATCTGTGAAGCACACACACATCCACTGTGGAGCTGGAGCGAGACCAGCTCCTCTCCGAAAGGCAGCTGTCACCTAGTGACTGTCAGTTACTGTCAACCTGTGCTGGTTTCACACAGCAACCCGGGGGATGATATCCTAGCTCATTACCCATCCTAGCACCCAACCAGACCTCTTGGATCCGGTTCCTCTGGCGAGCTCACACATAGTAATGCAGATTCAAAGCAGTATTTAATCTAGCTGTAATGCAAAGGATAGCTATTTCTCCTCAAGAGAGCCTCCTCCAGACATATTATTTCAAATTGCCTCGTTTAACTCAAAGTTGTGTAACATAACTTCTTTCCGGAAGAAATGAAATCCTAATTCCTACCAGAAAATGTTGACCATAAAGATAGTTCATAATATCAAGTTACACTAACATGCTTTGCAATCCACTCCTGCCTCTCCCCACACACACTGGCCTTAACATTGCATAAAAGCACTGCCATGTGACACTGGTAAAAAACCACTGAAAGTCACTTTCTTCACACATTGAACAAGGGTGTGTGTTAGAATCAGGAAGCCAGTATCATCCTTAAAGCTACTCTGCCCCTGATTTACTGTAGCGCTTCTCTTAGAACCTTCCCTAGCCCTGCCAGCCTGGCTTTTTACTCCAGATTTAAAGAGAACAGTACAATTATGCTCATAAGCACTTCCAGCTCCCAACATGAGAAATGAAGAAGTCCCCTCACATCCAAACTAGACAGCCTACTTCTCCCATTTTAAGGTGGTTCAGTGGAGTTCCTAGAGCAAGCTCTTCTACTCTAGTACTTGAGATTTTTCTTCTGCGGGGCTAATACATTAAAAATTGGTCTGTCTAGGTCCTGTGTCCCAGTCAAGGCCATGAGACCCCTTACTACCCCATTTCACTCTCTTTAATTCCCCATTCGTAAGACCCAAACACACACAAACTGCAATCCTTCCTGCCAGCAACTGCACAGGAGTACCCATCAAACTGCTCCTTCATTGGCCAAAGGAGTTACTGTTGAGTAATAGGAGGCTCCCCACTCTGTGCTACAACAAACATTTTCCCAGTAGGGTGCGCTATCCGGCGATTATCAACTAGCATCATAACCTGAACCACATGCATCAGAAGGCAGAGCATGGCCGCTAAATGGGTCAGCTCTGTGAATTTGTTTACTTGTCAGAGCCATGACAAGACACAGCTATATTATATGTGTATGTTTTACAGTGCGAAACTCAGCAAACAAACACTGGGCTGCGGCCCAAAGCAGTTTTTCCCACCGGAATTTATGATGGAACTGTTAACAAACCTAGCAACACCAACATAAACATCAGGGGTGTTGCTGGAAATAAAACTGTTCTCTAACAGGGCAAAGAAACTGGATTTGTTATACACTATCACACTGCACCATTCTACTTACATTTGCTACAGTATTCCTCTACACCGGTGCTTCTCAAACTGAGGGTTGTGACCCCTCAGGGGGTTGCAAGGTTATTGCGTGGGGGGTCACGAGCTGTCAACATCCACCCCAAATCCCACTTTGCCTCCAGCATTTATGATAGTGTTAAATATTTAAAAAGTGTTTTTAATTTATAAGGGGGGGGTCGCACTCATTGTGCGAAAGGGGTCACCAATACAAATGTTTGAGAACCACTGCTCTACACTCAGCATGGGAAACACTGCAGGAAGCTGAACTATTGCAAGCTGGTGAACCTGCAACTGCAATAGTGCCTGTGCTGTAAATTAATAACATCAGTTACGGTTTTCTGTTTGGGGCAGCAATGTATATTGCATAGTTAAACAAAGATGCGAGGTAAGGTAAGTAGATACATACTCCTGGCTTTGTCTTGCATATGCAGTTTATTGGGATGCCTATTAATAGCATCTCATATATTAATTATATTTACAAATGGTATTTAACCTATTCCCCACCTCCCACCCACCAACAATTTGAATGAATTGATATTGGACCAAACAGCCCTGCTTTAACAAACATAATTTCCCTTCCTACTGCACTTTGCCCCACCCAAGCCTATCTGTCTTCCAGTTCTGGCATATTCTGAGGAGGGACTGCCAAGTACTCTGAATGCTCTGGGTCTGGGATACGGTCACATGTAGAGTTAGTTGCAAAACTTTTGACAGAACAGTTTTCCATTAGAAAATGTGTCAATTTCAGTGAATTTTTTGATGGGAAAAAGTCAAAATGAATCATTCTGATAATGTCAAATTGTTTCATTTCAACTTTATTGTTTCAATGCATTTCATTACTACTTTTATATTATATTAAACTTAATTTTAATCTGATATGTATATAAAACATTTATATTATAATGTTTCAACGCTAACCCAGTAGACATTTTGAAATGGTAAGCGCTTTGGAAATCTCAAGGAGACAGCAGGGGAAGCCTGATTCCCCATTTCCCCAAAACTTGTGCAATCATTTACACCCATGCAAAGTGAGCATGAAGCACTCATCTTTCTGATCTGAAAGCATTTTGCACAGCCTTAGTGCAAAGCAGTGGAGAATCAGAGCCATTATCTTTTGCCCTGACTTGGCACTCCAGCAAGGGCAAAGGTTTCTCTCTCTCTCTCTCTGTCACTGCAGCTCCAGCGGAAGGAATCGTCTTTCCTCTAGGGCACTGGGAAGAAAAACCTGATTCGTTTTATTAGTACAAGAATAGCCCAGTGTCTCCACCACTCTGATCTACTTGTAGGACATCCTGAGAACCTGGCCCAGAGCCTGGATTGTCATCCTTAGATTACTTAGAGCAAATGTCCCAAAATTCCACAAACCACTGCCCATTTCATTTTCTGGAGATTTCTGTCACGTTCTCACAGCTCCAAAGGGAATTTATAACTTTAAAAAACCTGGGAAGGATTTTGACTAGACTTCCCAAAGCAGGAAACAACACCCTTGTGCGCTCTTTCTTCCCTGGGAATGGCTTTTTTTAAGAGTCAACTTGTCTTTGGAGCGGAGCTGCTAAGTGAACCCGGGAAAGCACATATATTCAGCGTGAACTTTTGTGTGAGTCTTTGGACAATTTCAGATTTCACAGTCAAACAATGCAGTCCAGATGGGATTTAAGTGGCATCAGAGAATCGGCGAGCTATTTCAGCAGCCCCATCCCAGAGACCCAGGCTTCTCTCGGAGTGTATTTCACAACCAGTTCTGGAGCAAATACTTTAGACATAAGTGAGCCAAAGGGGGAGCAAAGGGACAGCAGAGAACCAAGCCTTGTGAGGTCTGTCCAGGGGACAGGGGGGAAAGGAACTCGAGGACGCTGAATAGCACCAATGAGAAGGACTAGAGCCAGGGGACAACCTGCCTGAACACTGGAGCGAGCAGGAGCCAGGGGCAGAGGAAACACCTGCCCTTTGATTAAAGCAAACAGAGGCAGCACCAGCACCTCCCCAGACAGCCCTGCAAAGCCCCAGGGGTGGGCACGGGTGATTTACACACGCTCCGGGAAGGGGAGCTGCTCTCTCTCTCACACACACCTACCTTTTCTGCACCGGCCTTTTCCTCTTTTTCCCGGCATAAACGCCTCCCGTCCGCAGCATGACGAGCCTGGGACACAAGCCGCCCCCAGGGGAAAGTTCTCGCTGCTCTTCCTGGCACGCAGTGGGGCGGCGGGGAGGAAGCCCAGACTCCCAAGGGAAACCCACCGAGCCCGGCCTGCCCCGCGACGGGAAGGGGGGCAAAGCCCCAACGCTGCTGCAAGCCGTGGCGCGAGCCTGCCCCCTCCCGCGGCCGGTCCCGGCTGCCCCACGCCACGCGCGCCCTCCCGACCCAGCTGGGACTGGGACAAAGTTGACGCAGCTGGGCAGGTACAACCCTGCAGGGCGGGGCCGCGCGCCAGCCCCCTCCGCTCCCCGGGCAACACCCCACCCAGGAATCACAGCCACGCGGGGAGATGCTTTAAGGTGGATCGGAAAGTTGACACCGAGTCCTTGGCAGTGGGGGGTGGGGAGTTGCCTCCCATTGCCCCCCTTTCCTGCTGCCCCCTTGGGGCCCTCGCCCCCCTGCTGCCAGCTCCGTGGGGGAAAGGCCGGGAGAAGGGTCGCCTGCATGGCTGTAGAGCTCCCTGCCTCCTGCTGCCCCTCAGCCTGGCTCCCCGGGGCAGCGCGGGGGGGGGGGGGGGGGGCGGTCCTGTGCTATAAGGCCCCAGCCCCGCCAGGCAGAGCAGGAGGGAGAGACTCATAAAAAGGGGGGGGGCAGGGCTGCCCAGAGGATTCAGGGGGCCTGGGGCAAAGCAATTTCGGGGGCCGTCCATAAAAAAAAGTTGCAATACTATAGTAATGTGTATTTGGAAATGTAAAAAATAATCAGTGTATTTGAAAATACACTAAATACATTATTTAGAAACATTAAATGCTTTAATGGGATGTATACATTTGCAATTATATAATGGGCTGTCACTGGGTGATGGTGATGGTTGGTGCCAATGGGCTGTCGCTGCCTGGGGGTGGCGCCACTGTTGCCCAGGGCTGGGTGGGGAGCTGGGCTCTGGGTCGGGGGGTGCCCGGCTCAGAGGGGCTTGGCTCAGTGATGTGGGGAGATGGGGTCAGGGGGGTGCCCAGCTCAGAGGGGCTGGGCTCAGAGCTGGGGGTCAGGGCTGTGGGGGGGATGGGGTTGGGGGGGGTCAGCCTCAGAGGGGCTGGGTTCAAAGCTAGGGGTCAGGGCTGTGGGGGGATGGGGTCGGGGGGTACCCAGCTCAGAGGGGCTGGGCTCAGAGCTAGGGGTCAGGGCTGCGGGGGAAGGAGGGAGGGGGTGCCCGGCTCAGAGGGGCTGGGCTTGGAGCTGGGGGTCAGGGATGGGGGATGCCCGGCTCAGAGGGGCTGGCGAGGTGCCCGGCTCAGAGGGGCTTACCATGCCATTTACCCCCTCTCCCAGAGCCTCAGCGAGCTGCGTCCAGGAGCTCCTGCCGCTCGGCCCGCCGGAGCTTGCAGCTCCGTCCCCTTACCAGGTGGCTCTGAGTGGGAGGAGCTCAGGCCATGTGGCTGCAGCGCTCTCCAGGGCCGCTCCTGGACGCGGCACGCTGAGGTGCCAGGGGATGGGGGAAGGCGAAGGCAGAGGCGGAGGGGAGCCTCCGACATTCTCTTGGGGGCCGCTGCGGGGCCCAGGGTCTGGGGCAAATTGCCCCACTTGCCCCCCCCCCCCTCTGGGCAGTCCTAGGGGGGCCTGGACGGGACCCGAGAAGCCGACCAGGTTCAGCCCCCAGCAGGAGAGAGTCCAGGCCTTGTGCCTTGCCTTTTTAGCCTTCTAAGACAGTGGTTTTCCAACTTTTTTTCTGAGGACCCGGTTGATGAAAATTGTTGATGCCTGTGACCCAAGGGAGCTGGGGATGAGGGGGTTGGGTTGTGGGAGGGGGACAGGGCTCTGGGTGGGGGGGGCACGCTCTGGGGTGGGTCTGGGGATGAGGGGTTTGGGTGTTGGAGAGGGTTCTGGGTTTGGGGGGGTCTCAATGGGAGTGTGGAGCCGGTGCTTTGGGTGGAGAAAGCGCACAGAGTCCCGTGGCCCCCCTGCCTAGAAGCTATACCCACTGCTGGCCGCTGTCAGGGCGCAGCGCAGTGTCGGAACAGGTAGGCACTAGCCTGCCTTAGGAGGGCAGCACCACCGACGGGACTTTTAACGTCCCACTCGGCGGCGCTGACCAGAGCAAGGTGACCCAGTGCCTTACATGCCATGACCCAGAACTGGGTTGTGACTCACGGTTTGAAAAACACTGTTCTAAGATCATCTTCCTGAGTGGAGAGCTGCTTCTTAGCCTATGTGCAGAGTGCCCCAGGTGGCACCTGACCAAGATTCATCACCGAATTTGGTCCTGGTTGGATCATTAGCTTCCCTGGCCCAGGTCGGGTACTGATATAAGAACATCCAAATGGTCATACTGGGTCAGACCAAAGGTCCATCTAGCCCATCAACCTGTCTTCCGACAATGGCCAATGCCAGGTACCCCAGAGGGAATGAACAGAACAGGTAATCATCAAGTGATCCATCCCCTGTCACCCATTCCCAGCTTCTGGCAAACAGAGGCTAGGGACACCATCCCTGCCCATCCTGGCTAATAGCCATTGATGGTCCTATCCTCCATGAACGTATCTAGTTCTTTTTTGAATACTCTCATAGTCTTGGCCTATGTCACAACATCCTCTGGCAAAGAGTTCCACAGACTGACTGTGCATTGTGTGAAGAAATACTTCCTTTTGTTTCTTTTAAACCTGCTGCCTATTAATTTCATTTGGTGACCCCTAGTTCTTGTGTTATGTGAAGGAGGAAATAACACTTCCTGATTTACTTTCTCCACACCAGTCATGATTTTATAGAGCTCTATCATATCCACCCCAGTTGTCTCTTTTCCAAGCTGAAAAGACCCAGTCTGATTAATCTCTCCTCATACAGAAGCCGTTCCATGCCCCTAATCATTTTTGTTGCCCTTTTCTGAACCTTTTCCAATTCCAATATATCTTTTTTGAGATACTGCGTGCAGATGTGGTCGCCCTATTCAAGATGTGGGCGTACCAGGGATTTATACAGAGGCAATATAATATTTTCTGTCTTATTATCTATCCCGTTCTTAATGATTCCCAACATTCTGTTCACTTTTTTGACTGCACATTGATAGGGAGCGCTACGTGACTGCTGATCCATGCCCTGCAGCGGAGAGCTCATTTACAATAAACATAAAGGGAGCAAACTGCAAAGAAGGAAGAAGAGGCATTATCCCCAGGCTCTCAGCAGAGCTGTTCTGCACAGCTCACTCCTGCCCTACCATGGACTCCCTTGCCCTGCTCCTCTATACAAGAAGAGCCAGTATGACAATGGGCCATTTGGGAGCTAGATGGGCACTGAAACGGCTCTATTTTTCTTTGGAGACTTCCTGTACAGTACATTTCCGACGAGTGATTTGACTTTGTAACATCTAAATCCAGTGTGTTTCTGCAGCATATGGGGCCCAACCATGCTCCCACTGCAGTCAATGGCATTTTAGGGTGGAGGAAGCAGGATCAGGCCCCACCCTGGTGAACACCGCTAGGGAGTGCACATTTCAGAGAACAACCCACACCCCAGCACCCACAGATGGCAACCTTCTAAAATCCTGCATCTAAGACACACGAGAGGATATTTTTTAAGCCCCCCCTGGAAGAGAACTGGTGGAAAGGGGGATAGTGAACACATTGTTCTATCTCTTAACCATTGGGTGGAAGGGAAAACAGATTTCTCACTAGGTAGCCTGGGAAGAGTGCCGAGAAGGTGTCACCACTATTTTGATGCATGGCATCTCTTTTCCTGGGATATATTTACCTAATTATCAACCTTCAACTAAGTAAGAAAAATCTACAATTGATTCTGTTTTCTGTTCTTTTCTCCTTTTTTTTCTGTTCCCTCAGAATAAGAGGATGTTCGATGAAATTGAAAATTAGCAAACTGAAAACTGATCAAACGAAATACGTTTTTGTACAAAAAGTATAATTAGAACTCATTGCTACATGAAGTTGAAGTGTGGAACTCATTGCCACATGAAGTCTTTAAGGCCAAGAATTTAGCAAGGGTCAAAAAAGAGATTGGACATTTATATGGATATCCAGAATGATCACAATTAATGGTTCCAAAACATTTTGGAAGAAACATTAAACATCACGTATCATGGCTTAAGTCAATCTCTAACTATTAGAGACAAGGATCAGATCCAGTACGGGTGTGGATTATCCCCCACCCCTAGTTCTTGAAACTTCATCTGAAGCATCTGGCACTGGCCATAGTCAGAGATAGGATCATGGGCTAGATGGGCCTCGGGTCTGATTCAGTCTGGCAATCACTATGTTCTTTTCCCTTCTGTGTATTTTCTTCAGTATTTAAAAGGATTCATGTTTGACTCTATCCTTTGTGTCTCTTTTCTGTGATACTGTCTCACCACCCTAGATTGCCCCAGTGCTCCAGAACTGCGCAAAGAACCTCTCCCTTTCTGCCTCTTCAACACAGAACTGCTCTGGGCTGCACTGCCCCAAGCTACTGATGCCACTGTGAGCTACCTGCCCTGCTGCTGGGTCAGAGGCAGGAGAGTGGGACCAGGGAGCAGCAAAAGACAGAGGGAGCCTCCCAGGAGGTTGAATGGAGAGTGTGGGACTGGCCCCATGCCCTTTATCTTCTCTCCCAATCACAGCCCTTCTCCAAACTCAATGGCCTTCCTACAAACCCAAGGCACCGTCGACCATTTCTGAGATGCAAGAGACGTCAGGCCTAGCTGTTGTCATAAGGGCTAAATATCAGAAAATTCCTAATGGAGATTATGGCGAGACCAGATTGATCCCTTTCCAAGGCCAGTAGTGGGAGCTCTTCCATTGGGATGAATGCGCAAACCACTCTCCATTAGTACAATCATTATGTGAGTAACATACTAGATATGACTAGTGGGAAATTTTCCATCAAAACTGTTTTTTCCATAGAAAATTGGGTGTTCAACTAAATTTTTTCATAAAAAGTGTCTGCTTTCCATGGGAAATTTAGATTTTTCATTAAATAAAGAACACACAAAAACAAATTTGATTTGGACATGCTTCTGCAGTGCCTATGAGAATTGTAGTTTGGTTACCTTAAATCCATAGTCTCATCTATTAGTCTATTGGTCAGGCTCACTGGTCAGACTACATCTCTCATGCTGGACCTCAGCCTGGGACTCCCATGATGCCCCACTTCCCCAAAAAGAAGAGTGTAGTGCATCATGAGAGATGTAGTCCAACTAAAGAGCCCTGTCTCTAGAGAAGAATGGGAGCAGCGGGAACCTGAACTACAACTTCCATGAGGCACCACAGTATTTCCAAATAAAA